TTTAAAGGATATTTCTCAGTATTTTCTGAAATGATCTAAACAGAGTAATCATAATGACAATAATTCTTAGTGCAGCCCTGGTTCTGAAGCATTTGAACTTCAAGCTGCAGGAAATATAAGAACACAGATGTTGCTTTGCAGTTAACCCTGAAATCTGACCTTAAAACACCACTGGCTTTGGGTTTAGATAATGTTTGATATTCCATTTCATGACGCTATTCAGACATTGCTCTGCCGTGTGTCATCAAGAAAATACATTTTAGACCCGATTACGGCCTTCAGATCCATTTCCACCCACGCCAGAGGCTGAATGTAGAATCTGTGGGTAAGCCTGGGGTCAAAGGTCGGCCCTAATCATGTCCAAATGATGCAGTAACTCAGCAGCCAGCGGCGCTGCTCACCTGTCACCTTGCCGTGGTGCAGAAGCAGCTTAGCATTTATATCGAATGTTTAATTTGAGGATGCAGGATCGCACTGGGGCTCTTCAATGTGTTTGATGGGGCCAGCTGAAGGACAAGAAGCAGGTCCCAGTCATAAAATGGTAATGATGACGGTGCGGTGACGAGCGCACCCCCAGGCAAGGAGAGGAAACGGAGCTCAGTCAAACAGCACTGCAGACTAATATGGTCATTAAGAGGCGAAGCTGCTCCGCTCTGAGCGATCCTGAACCAACCCTCACTGAGCCAGTCATCGCACTTTAGTCTGCTCCACAGACACAGAGGGACTGCAGTCATCACATCTGAAAACATGTCCCACAGTATCTGTGTTCATTTGGATCATTTCACATGTTTCAAAAGCTGAAAACATCTTTAACGTCAAAATCTGTGGAGCTGAGACATGGACTACTTTTGTTGCACAAAATAACTTCAAATGTTTTCTTTAAGGAAAAACGTTAAGGCATTTGCAGCAATGAAAGAGATTTTTAAAATTTTTTAAATTCTCTAGTTTCAATGGAGTTACCAGTTAACATCTCACCTATATCATCTCACAACGTTGGCCAGAAGAGAAACATGGCAGAAGAAAGAAGGCAAGAAAACCAAATATCTCAGAGGAGGAAAAGGCAAAACACATCCTTAAAAGTAAATTTGATCCACAAATAACATCCAATCATTAACTGTAGAGGAGCTGGAAGAGCACAGCTGAGGAAAGTGGAGTGATCAGCTCAAAATGATCTGACAAATCATAAAGTGACTGCCGATTAAATCTATAGAGCAAAATCAATTCCTCTGTGTTAAGGGTGCATCAGGTTCTTCTGATCGTGGAAAACTCTTGTTGGGATGTTCATCCTCTTCATTTATCACCATAAACCCAGACATGATGAGGTTAAGAAACAATCAGAGGTAACTAAAGTTTTTTTTTTGCTTAGTTTGGTCGCTAAGTTCTTTTGTACAACGGCTTAACTGACTTTAAGTGATTCCTTAAGTATAAGAGTTAGATAAGGAGGAAACCTTAAATACTTAAATAAAAATTTTATGGAAGCCTTAATTTGGACTTTAAGGAAAATCTTAACATAAAATGCTTTTTAGAAACTGGCCCCAGAGCCTTGATCTGAAACAAGCTTACATTAGTGACAGGTCTTCTGTTGGAATTTCCTGTTTTATACATAACGTTTTCCGTTGTTGAAATGTGGTAAAGTGTTGAATTACTGGCTTAATTCGAAAAACTTCAAAGACTGTGAGGTGCAGGTGAAAGCTCCAGAAGAAGCAGGTAAGAGGGCCTTGAGTTGTGATTCTTTTGTTAAACTACCATTTCAAAAGTAAAGACTGAACTTTCATCCTCAATATGTTCCCTGATGGGAAAGTACGGGATTAAACTTTTTTACCTGATGACAGTCACCAAAGTTATTAGGAGACATCATCTGGAGACCATGAACGTTCGGAAAATGTCATGACAGACCAATCAGTAGTTAAGATATTTTACTCTGGACCAAAGTGGTGAACCAGACTCTACAGTTGACATTCACAGAGATAAAGTTGAGCTACTTTGGAAAATCATCGGCTGTCAGTTAAGTATACATAATTTGTAAAAAGTGTGCAACTACAACTTGTAAAAACAAATAGCATGATCCTTGAGTCCTGATTCGTGTTCTGTTGTTTTTTGATCAGTGTCAAGAGTAAACAGCTCCAGATGCTGAAGCAGGTGACTGAATGTAACCTTAGTTCAGAACAACTCTGAGCAGTGATTGGACGACGAATGCTGAACAAGAATGTGAAGAAAACCAAACAGTAATGTAAGTTTTGGCTGCAGTGAATCGGCCTGATCTACTTTTCTTCATCACAGTCTGTTGGTATCAATATGGGTCACATTCAAAAATAGAAATGAATCCTCATCCAAAAAAAAAGAAGAAAAAATCAGATAACAGCAGCTTCTGTGTTCGCTGGTTTGAGCCTGAAGCTAAATGTGAACAGTGGTGTAGAAGACTTGTTCAGCTGAGGATCTGACTGTGGTGAGTTATCCTCCCTGTGCGATGCTGCAGCTCTGGTCAAGGTTATCTATGTCCACTACACAGCAGGGAGAAAGCTACCATCAACATGGCTGATAAAATGAATCATCGCCAGCGTTTCATATACAACAGGTATCTGTAATTAGGACAACAGGGACCTGATAAGCCAGGGGCAATTTGAATATGTTTGTATTCAACTCAAGGCCAGACAAAGAACCAACACCACAGCCAACTGCAACCAACACTTGACTCTGACAAATTCCCACAAACACACAGAACATGCAGCTGCCTGCAGGCTACAGCAGTGCTGCTGGTTACAAACACGTTATTTCTTACTTTGTTATTGTCTGTTACAACAATCAGCTGCTATAAATATAGAATCTGTAATATCTGATGAAATGTCAGGTCAGTTGGTTTGAATGAAACCAAGAGGAGGAACAGGTAACTCACTCATGGGACAGTTGTAGTTACATCATCCTGCATCAAAAAAGAAACTGACTCTGCTGTCACAAAGTCACCTCAGACAGTCAGAAACAGTCAAAATATATGTCTGTTATCCAATCTGTAATGTATATTACAAAAAAAACCAAATTCAATATAGATCAAACTGCCTCTGTTCATTTTTGTTTATATATGTTTATAGAAATATGGTGATATCTGTATGAAGCAGAGCTATTGTACTGTAATTAACACATGCAGCTCAAACTGGCAGCAACAAATATTATGTTTCAATTTTGAGACCAAATGTCATCCAGAGTCTCAAACGCTGCATATCACATTTAAGAGGCAGAATTTAGTTATATAAACAGAAGACTGAGGAAATGTATTATGTAAAACTAAATACAGTATATTCAGTTCACACCTGAACTTGTTTAACAGATAGAAAAAGCACAACAACTTCTTCAACCTGAACAACGCTGTGACACGGCCCATAGGAGTTTCTCCTGAAATAGCGCCCCTATGGCGGCAGGCGTACTGCACTTTGGTTGTCATGGTTACAATAATAAACACACTGATTATACCAAGAGCGGTGTGCCTACCTTCGTCGCCATGGTTACTATAATAAACGATTGTGGCTTGGTTAGGTTTAGGAAAAGATGCTGATTTGAGTTAAAATAAGTGCTTCCTCAACATTAGACGATCTTTGTTGTCATGGTTACAATAATAACAACGATGTAGAAACAACATAAACATGCTCTCCTGTGTCATATGCATCCATCTACCACAACCTCCTCCCGACGTGGACTTTGTTTCTCTTTATACTACGTCACCAACACTTTTCCTTTTGCTCCTGTCATCATTACTACAACCACTAGATGTTGCCTAGCAACAAAACCTAACTATGAGTCATAATAACTTGCTGCACAGACGACCTATGGACTTTTTTTTCAGGAGGGCAAGTTCAAAATGCATGTCACAGTAAGCAAATTTGTACCATTGTATTCTGTGCTATTTTTTCAGCATCGTTGTTTTTTTTGTAAAAATCTTGTTCAGTTTTGTTTTTATCATATTTCCACCTTCGAGTTCTGTTGCTTACATTGTCAGATATCATATAACCAGAGGTGGACAAAGGTGGACACAGCTCCATCACTTGAGTCAGAGTACAGATCAGACATGACTCCAATACAGGTGAAAGTCACACTTTTACGTGATTAAAGTACTGACAGTACCTCACATTAAAAATACAAAAAGTACATTTTAGCATTTTTGTCAACGCATTGTTATATTGTTCCACATTTACAGAACCTGATGACTCTGAAACAACCTGCTGAATGACTGACTGCAAAACCTGTAGAATAAAATGCTACAAACGTTAAAGAAATGGCCATAAAGTACAATAGTATCAATAGGACATCCATTGTTGGTTTCATATTTAAGTCTTTTGTAGGCAGTGCTGAAGTTGGGTCGTGGTAAACACAGCAAACATTTAAAACAAAAGGAATCTTTCTTTATTTCTAAAATTTCAAACATTTTTAGAACTGGCAAAGTTCAAACTGAGTTGTTTAAGAATGCAAATGCAGCAGCCCAACATGACTGACAGTGGAGGAGTTGGCTGTTATTGGTTTTTCCTCTGTGATGAACACAGTGTATGGTATATCACATTTTCAAAATAAAAGAACATAAATTCCACTGACTAAAAGCACTGATTCAAAGTAGGAGTACTTCATAGAACTGCAGTGGAGTAAGAAGTACAATATTTGTCATTAAGTGTAGTGGAGTACAAGTCGGAAGTTTCCAAATGAAATAATACTCAAGTTAGGACAGATACTCGGAAGATAAACTGAAGTACCGTTCTCAAGTAACAAGTAAATGTTCTTTGTTACTGTCCACCCCTGCATATTACCCAGTCAGCAGTAAATTGAATTAAAAAGTCAGAGTAATGACTTAAATGACAGGCTGAGGAGAAAATATAAAACTGTCTTTTTTAGGATGTGATTCAGAAGCTGGGGATGAGCGTGTCTGAAGCAAACATGTTTAATTTTCCTTCCTGTCCACACATTATAAGAACCCGTATTATCAGCTCTGCAGCTGCAGTGGGTGTAATGAAAATCTTTACCTCGTATTGTCGTGTGACGAGCTGCCGTGTGTGTTCTGACACGCTCTGGGTGGACGTGGGACGGTCTTTGTCACTTTGATTTCACCTGCAGCCTGAAAGACACATCAGAGGGGGAAAAAAACCTGTTTATTCAGATTCTTTGTAAAAAAAAAAAAAAAAAAAGCTTGTGCACTTTTACTAATTTATTTGCGAACTGTTTATTGGTGCTCTGGTGCAGGATGCATCAGGAGCCATACGGAGGATTAATAGCAGCAGCTCTGACTCTGCAGTATCAGCACCTGTGTCTCTTTATAGACACTATAAAAAGTTCCTTCATTAAACCTCAGAGAGAGAATAACAGAAAACAGTTAACAGCCTGAAGTACATCAGTGAAGGCGTAATTTAACAGAACTAATGACATTTCTCCAAAGTTTTTATTTAAAAAGATGTTTTTAGGAGTTGGTGTCAAACTTCTGGATCATATTTCATCGTGTGATTTGGTTTTCTTCTCTGATGTCGCCACCTACAGGACATCATGAATGCACAGAAAAACCTTTTTTTGGACACACACAGTACATGGGCAGGACGAGAGGGTTTTACAAATTGGTTTACATGACTGGTAGTAATTTTATCTTTAAGCGTGTTTTAATTGACAGAGTGTTTAGACGCGACACAGATCTCAGAGCCTGGAGATAATCTTCTGTCGTATTCAGCTCAAATTGAGCTCAATTGACGGGTAAATTGGGGTTAAATGCCTCACTAAGAGCTGCAGTTACAATATTCACTTTATAATTCAAACACCAGAAAACCAGATTAGGGTTTTTCACTGTTGTTTAGTTTCCATTTACGTAACTGTGTGGAAACGTGTTTCCACAGCAGATTTCAGGTAAACACCGCAAAAGCTGCAAAAGAATATGACAAATGAGAATACTGAATACAGTTATGACTTTTATTGAAATTGAAAAAGAGGCGAGAAGTAGGCAATGCAATAACAAACAAACTCCATCAAACAACCCACTAAAGGTCAAACGTGAGCTGGAACAGTAAAGACAACTTGACAACTTATCATGTTAGGCAATTTCTCATTTCTAATCAAATACAAGCACCATCTGTTTCTCATGACAAAAGCCGAAGCTCAGCAGCCTTCTTCAGTTTCACTATCTAGGACTGGCAACTGCTCACTCTTTTCCTTTGCTCGTCTCCTTAGTGTGTTTGATTTTGTTATTGTTGTTGCCGTTTTGGTCCCTTCAGTATTTTCTGCTTGTTCTGCAAAGTTGTCTGCATCTTTGTGGAGACTGTCGCACACATCTTATGGAGATTTTCACCTCTTCTTCAGTTCTTCCAGGGTTTCCTCAGCAGTCTCTCTCTTAAGCTTTTGCTCATCACTTTCTTTTTTGCCTTTTTCATGGTCAAGGTAAGCTCAATACCTAGTGCATGCAGTTGCACTGTAGCTCAGCATCTCTTTTGAGTGCTATGTTGCATGTTTCCTTTGTTTACAGAGAACCCCCCTTTGACTTCTGCTTGCCCGTGGGACAAGAGCAGCAACTTTCTGCAAAAACCGGCAAAGTTTACATCGTGCCTCACATGGATCTTTGGATGGTTTCAGCCAGCCTCCACATTTTTCATCCTCCAACCACTTCCTCGTTGAATTTGCATTTACTCATTGCTTGCTCGTAGCTTCGTGTTCATTCTGTTCTCGATCTTCCCCCTGGTTTTTTTGTTTTCCTTGCCACCCTCAACTCCTCACCGTCTCCACCAATTTCTTCCTTCTCCGTTCTTGTTATCCACTACTAAGTTTAGTTCTTTGTTTCCTTCTTCCCGCCACAGCCCTTACAGTCGGAAATTTTTTCTTCTTCTACTAGGTTAAAATGCCATAGCCACACAAGGCGCCACGACCACTACCTACCTAGGTAAGATTAAACACGGAGGACATTCCAGAAATGATCATTTTTCTCGGATATAAAATACCAAAACACACACACAAGAAAATATAAAATAACATAAACTGAACTAATATAATTACACTCATTCACTCTGCCCCGGCTGAAATCAAATTTAATGATTTAACTCCTACAATTTTCTACCTTGAATATCAAAAACTAAATTTAAGACATTTTAAGACTTTTTGAGGATCCACGGGGACTCTGTTAATATTCACTGTACATTTAAGGCTGATTGGAATTTGAGGCTAGACGTACCCGATGATAGCGCCAGTGTTTAAAAGTATGTTCTGGGCTTCTTCAGCCTTTACTGCAGTGGGCCAACAGGAAATGAAAGTTGGCATCTTAACCTCTGAGCCTCAGGGACGCCTGAGGTGTCGAGTTGAAAGTGTGATCTGATGCCAGAGGAAAAGTCAAAGGATTGCTGAAGTGACAAGGCTGCATCCTCTGTGGAACACGAATCTCTGCAGCACAAACAATAAAACTAACAGTTTGTGTCTGATGTTGCTAGTGTGGCTAAAAGTTCAGTTTGTATTTGTAAAAAAAAAAAAAAAAAGCTCAAACAAACCTTCGACTGGAAAAACTCATTCACAGAGATATCCTGACATAAAGAAAGAAGTACTCTGGCTCCGGAAAGTTTGACATGAGCACCTGTCTTGCACACCCACCAGCTTTTAAACTCAGGTGACTCAGGTGTATGTGCGTTTGATTGGATGTGTGACTGTACGTACCCTGGGCATGGTGAGGACCAAGTGTCCGGTGGTTTGGGACCTCTGAGCTGTCGAGCTGTCGGGCTTCACTTCGGCGGGCAGAACCATCTGAAATATCTGCAGAGTAAATTATTCATAACTTTAATTAGCAAGATTAATGCGCTGATCTGGCACTGACGCTGTCCCAGTGTGTCAAATGACTTTAATCATTAGTGGGTCTTTTTATAGGTACACTTTCCAGAAAAGACTTTGGGAGAGTGACCAGAATAGGTCTGACTGAGAGCAGCGGCAATCAATCACTGGAACGAAATCCTACGAAAACCAGAATGATCCATGTGGAAGGACAATTTATGCCCACAAAATGGGCATAAAATTAGACTTCATTTTTCAATCTACTTTTATTTGATAGTGAGGGGAACTTTAGGGGAAACCGTGCGAGCAGGAGGTAGAGGGGAAGGAAAACTCCAAAACTGGAGCTGACTCCTGCTCAGGCCCTGCAGCTGTCAGATGTAGCTCTTGTGATATACACACCTCACAGATGACTCCTCCAGTCAGTTCCCCCTGCTACTCTGAATGACTTCATATTAAGGAGGAATTTTAAAGGCCTGAGTTGATGTATCACTGCGTAAATCACCCCACCCGTCCAATCAGGCTAACCACTGGCATAAAACAACCATCCATAAACACGCTAACGGCTTGAAGCAGAGCCATGAAATTCAGGACTCTGGCAGCAAAGGCTGAAGAACTCTGAACTCTGAACCAGCAGGGCTCTGTATTTATCGTTTGTATACCGGAGGGTAAAAAACAGTGACAGGAATAAAAAACATTACACTTCTTGAATTTATGTGTGGCCAAACATCTGTTTAATCAGGCTTAAAGGTCGCTGCAGTCTGTTCGTGGGAGATTAAATCCTCCACACGTTTCCCCGGTGCTGCTGAGGGAAATATGGCAGACTGGACACACGGACGTAATTAACTCTGCGGTAACGATGACATGCAGAACTGTGCCTCCCTTCACAATAAACCACAGTCAGACTTCAGGAGATCTCACGCAGGGCGGGAAATGAACACCTGACAGGAGATAAATACGGTTTGTTTCTGCTGACACTGAATCTTCCTCTTTTGGCAGGAAGCTCAGCTGATTCCACTTTGTTGATAAATGTCAGGATTTACCAGAGAGAGAGAGAGAAAGTGTCCGTCCTGTCCCGGACAGCTGCCGTTCTGTTAAAAAAAAAAAGTCTCAGGTTCACAGGCGGGAAATGACTCCACAGCCGGTGTAATAAACTCTCTCCATAAACGTATCAGAGTATCAGAGTCAGACACAGGTCTGATGATTCAGCTGCTTCTGACGGCCTTTTATTTGCTCTAAATCTGACTCTTCATCCATCACACGTCAGTCTGCTCCCAACTCACCAGCAAGCATCATCTTCATCATTTCACAGCAGCCTGTAATCAGGAGACTCACTCCATACTGGTGACAGATCATGATACAGGCTGTTACAGGAGTGTGTGGAAACTGTGAAGAAAGTGAGAAGAGTCTGAGAGTTCAGACTGAACGCAAGGCTAATATGAGATCACCGATATACACACTGTAAAGACATGAGGACAGCACAAACTGAGCTGAAGATGTTTTAACTAACTAACAAAAGATTCATGATGATCCCAAAGCAGTTCGACTTAAGCTGCGTCACAGTGGCGCAACAGACTTTCTCATTTCAAAGGCTCCTTCAAATGTGTCTTTCTTTTCCTGGACAACGAAGGCTCCAACAGGTGGATCCTTCGTGGCCCAACACCAACGGAGAGCCTGAGGATTAAACTGTTAAATGTAAGTGTTGGGGTTCAGCTCAGTTCAACAGCTAACAGTACAACTGTTAAAGTTTTTGTGAAAAAAATGTAGGTGTTCTCAAGGTTGCAAGGGGACAGGAGCCACGCTTTGTGACTCAGTAGTGACGCAAAGTGGAAATCCTACGTAGGACAAACCGTCTCATTTTGTTACGGCCTTCGTGGTCTACGACGGCTACTAAGGACTACATCTTCGTAGACTGCGCCCTCCGTAGGATGGGACACAACTAAAGTCATCACATTTTCACATTTCATCATTTTATCCTTTCTTGTAAAACTGTGTCATAATTAGCCAATTAACCAATTTCTAATCAGTTCATCATTTCACATCATCCTTGAGTGAATGTTTGTGCCAGATGATTTCCCTCTTACTGATATATCGCATTCTCAAGAACATGAGGTCACCGTGACCTTTACCTTTGACCACCAAATTCTAATCAGTTCATCTTTCAGTTCCAGTGAACGTTTGTGCCACATTTGAAGGAATTCCCTCAGGGTGTTGCAGAGATACGGGCACTCTGCTGAGTGTGATGTGTACACTGGGTTGTGAGGCTGCTGTGGCTCTGGCTGAGTGCCCGTTGTTGCCGCCACCTTCAGTCTGGGAGAGAGAAGATCTTTGACTCGTCAGCTGCGTCAACACCTCGCAGGAAGAAACCAGAGCTGCAGTGTAGCAGCTGTACTGCATGTGAAGTGTTCCTGCAGGCGTCTGTAGAGTCACACAAACTCCCCTACAAACTGTAAATGTCGCCTCAGCTCAGCTAAATATATGAAATATAACTTTAACCCATTAATGTTTGTGCTGGTGGAGGATGAAGGTCATGAGTAAGAAATGTTTCCTTGACATCTACTGCCGCATTGCCCTTGAGCAAGCACCTTCGCTGGCTGACAGCAGCGGTCTGTGGTTAAACTGGACAGCTTCCAGTGTGAATGTGTCGGGAGTCAGAGCGAGGCTGCAGCTCTGAGGACCTGAATATAACACCTCTCTAAACCGTGGGAGAATGTTTATATGATTTTCTGTTTAACTGAAGTCATCTATAGACTGAATTAAGTTTAAGGCAGCACTGATGTTTCCCTGGTTTAATATATTATTAGATTCTCTGGAGGTTTTCATCAGGAATGAATCAGCACAAACTGTAAATATCACCATTGTGTAAAAAGTTGCTGAGCAACAGCCGGTCCTTTAAACCTTAGAAGTCGACAAAGATTTAAGAAGTGTGTAAATCACTGCTGCTGCCCTTTAAAAATCCTGAATTGATGTATTTGCTGGAAAATGCAGCGTGTGCAGCCAGAACAGTATTGAAACACTTAAAATCATGTGTCACCTAATCCTAAGAGTTATCATTTCACCTCAGTTTTAGCTTCACTCCACTGGCTCCCAGTATCTTTTAGAATAGATTTTAAGGTCCTTTTACTTGTTTTTAAAGCTCTTCATGGTTTGGGGCCTACACTGCAGATTCTCTGTCTCTGTCTCCGTCTTATAATCCTTCACAAGTTCTCAGATCTGCTACTACCAGGATTTTGAATACACACAATTTTAAACACAAGAAAATAGGCAGTGCAGCTTTTTTAACTATACTTCAAAACTATGGATAGCCCTGCAGAGCTATAAGAGATACTCAGTAAACATCTTTAAAGGACAGCTGAAAACCTATTTCTTGGCTTTTAATTCATTCTCTCATATTTTGCTATTCTCACTGGTTTCTGTTTTTATTTTCATTTACATATTTTATCATCTGCTGTCTTTCTAATTGTCTATTTTCATTGTCCTTCAATCCTCATTTATTTTATTGTACAATTTGATTTTTTTTATTGTAAAGCAGAATCCAACCTGCTTCATCTCTTGTATGAAAAGTGCTCTATAAATAACGTTTATAATTATCATTATTATTATTATTATTATTATTATTATTATCAACTGTTCCGACTCTTAGCTCCACAGCGTACCTTTCCTTTGACGGTGACTCGGGCGTATGTTGGCTGAACATCCACATCTATCAGGGAGGTGTCCATGTGTCTGAGGAGAGTGAGGCGGAGGTACAGGTCAGTTTATATGAAGAGACACAGGTAGAGTTGTGTTTGAGCCATGAAGCTGAGCTGGAGAGCAGCAGTCTGACCGTATCAGGACTGTAAACATTTCAATGTTCATTTAGATCAATTAGATTTGATGAGACTACAGCTTCACATCAAGTTAATATTTCATTATCAGGATCAAGTCAGTGGGTCAAGTTTGCTGACATGTAGAGACACTTCGACCCTGGTTCTCAGTAGCTGTCACTGTGCAGACAACAAACACACAAACAGGAAACCAACACTGACAACAAGCTGAACAAAAATAACAAAAGAGCACAAGGTTAATCATGTGTTCTTCAGGTAAACTTGATGAGTGTGATGTCTTTCCAGCATTAAATGAAGAGCCCAAATATCTGTAGAAATGTATAAAATATTGTATTTATATTATATGATAAACAAACAAGCCAGGCTGCTTAATATCAATTAAAAATCCCAGTAAATATTTATTAAAATCATACTTCTATAAATTGAGCTGCTGAGTTTGGGCTCGTTGTTCCTACCTGTACACTGCCAAGTCTAAGACAATGGTGTTGTTTTCTTCATCCTCAGTCAAAGAGAAATCCAGCCTGTAAAGAGCAAAGGGCAGAAGCACTCACACAACTGGTCAAACTGTAGAGCAGCTAACACTGTTCTTTAAATATTTAGATAAAATTAACACAGAAACAACTGCTGTCAGTGCCTCCATACCAACAGAAACTTCCACTGTTCGCAGTGCAAACACCAAATACCAAATACCATACACTGATAATCTCATGGTTTTAATCTTTAGCTGACACTTGATTTGATTTTACTTTTCCACTGACACATCAGCTGTTTACAGAGAGTTGAAGCGTGACTTTGACTGACACTTCAACTACTTTCAGTGCTTACATACAAACTATTAGACAATTTACCTACACACAGGGTGTGAACTTGAAACTAAAATATAAAACTCTCTGATTGAATATTTACAGTTGAACTGACACCTACTCCTCTCAATGATTCCCAGACAAATCCTCATTCATGTAACTCGCATTTTAAGACACTTTTCAGCATAAACACACACCATTAAAATGTCTTTGGAAAATACTTTACCTTTTGTGGTTAACACATAAAAGTCTCAACATCACACCACTCTGTCTTATAGAAACTGAGCTTTGCTGAACTGGAATGATTTGCTTTTCTTACACTCTTGCATAAAAATACAGTAAAATGTAAACACCCATGTATGTAATGTAATTATACAATATACTGTCATATTTTGTCAGTTGATTCATTCTGTAAATACCTTTTCTAATAAGAAATATTGTGTTATTGTAGCATCAATCTACAGAGCATGACTTTCCAAGGCGTTCATGAGAGGACAGAAAAAACATTACTGATGTGTTTTGACTGTTATCACCAGGCTAGAGTGAAGCACAGCGTCCTGTCTCCCTGCTCATGTAAAGTGATATTTCATATAAAGGATTCATTCCTGACCTGAGTGTGTCCTCAGCTCAGATTACAAATGAAATCAGCCATGTTTTAAGGCCTCGACCCCGTGGCCTTGCTCTGGTTACAAACCTATGGCTAATGGAGGGAGCCCAGGGTGGCCCACAGCTATCAGATTGCCCCCCCTCCCACCTCCCTTGTAGCTCTCTGACGGCAGGAGAGCCAATACAGCACCAGAGATCAAAACCTGAAGGCTGCTAATATAGCAATCACACAGCTCCCGCCTCGCTGTCTGAACAGTTGGACCGAGCGCAGAACAAGCTAATGGAGGGTCTCTAAGAAAAAAACATTATAGATATGAAAGACTGTGATTGGAAGCTGAAAGACTGTGATCCAAAGTAAGATTGAAGCAGTTGATTGGTTGTGTTTTGTTGCTCCGACTGAACAAAACTAGAACCAATTATGTTGCTTTCTGCTGCATTCGCTGTTGTAGCCGAGTGGAACGGTCAATCTCCCTCACAGTCAATCACAGCTGGTGATACTGTACCGCTGCTATTACAAAGCTGCTGAGATGGTGGAGTCTCAGTCTTCTGTACCCAAAAACCTGCTTCAGTCCACATGCAGGTCTTGTAGAGACCCTGTGTGCTGTGTGTGTACTACTTAAAGGTCCCATACAGTATGAGTGAAGATGTCATGTGTTGTTTGATTGTAAAGCAGGTCTAGGTTCTATATTAATACTGTGAAAGTATCAAAGCCTCAGTCCACAGAAAAATGCACACAGCCTGTATTCAGAAACTGAGCCTTAAAACCAGCCGTCAGGACTTCTGGAACTTTGTGATGTCACAACAAAACAGTCACCGCTCTCAGCCATGTCCCAAGCCCCGCCCACCTGGACCCACCATCCAGACTTGCAGAATTTGGTTTCTCTGAGTGTTTACCTGAAATCTGCTATATTTTTATTGGATCACTCAGAAAACAGTCAGCCAATCAGAAGAGTCAGCCAATCAGAAGAGAGGAGGCTCTGAGCCTCTTTTCTGATTGGCTGACTGTTTTCTGAGTGATCCAATTACCGACCTGTTGTTACTAAAGCTCCAGAGAGAAGCCTGAGAGAAGAGATGTATAGCTACATTGAGATGGTTTTTGGTTCTTAAAACCACAAATATATCTTCTTATGGATCAACACTTCAAATAAAACACAGGGGAAGTCAAATAATAACATTTTTAAGGGGGAAACTGTTAGATCAATTAATGGATTATAACATATTAAGGTGATATCAGTTTTCAGAGGAGAAAGAAAAATGACGATCAAACATTAAAGTCACTCCTGAATTTGTACTTCATGTCAAATTTAACGCCCCGGGAAGCTACAAATGTTTTTTCATATACTTTAAATTGTTACATGTTAATGGCTTAATGATGGGTGCTTAACTATTTTAATTTGTTGTCTTTGTGGTTTTTGGGGTTTTAAGGGAGAAAAAATATGAAAAATGACCAAATAAAGCAATTACAGCTGTTACAGATATTTTGGGAAAATGAACAACATAAATTAATCAATTATATGAACCAAAACCAAAATTAAAGTTACCACTGAATCTCAGCCTGAATTAACAATCACTCATTAAGGGATAATTTTATGGCTTCAGTGTTTATAATCACATGTTCGGGTAATTTATTTTTAGCCTGATTTAAGGGGTTTTAAGGAGAAGAGGAAAATATAGAGCTTTAAAGGACCACAATTCAACCACACACTCAGATTATCCAAAATACTTGGAGTTACAGGAATTGTGTGACATGTTGGGAAAAAGCAGTTTTTGCTTTTTTCCAGAGACCAATCTCATGAGATCAGTCTCATATCTGTGTTGAGTCAGGATGTAGTTAGCCTAGTTTAGCATAAAGCCAGGATGCAGGGAGAAAAAAGCTTGCCTGGTTCTACCCACCCACCTCTGCAGCTCATTAGGGAACTCTGTGTATCTCACTGTGTGTTGTAACTGACAAACAAGAGATGAGCACAGTTACTTCCTGAAATCATCCTGTCACCATAACGTTGCCAGGTTTGGTACCTGCACAGAGATCAACACATGCTACAGCCGGAGATGCTTGGCAGAGGTAATTCAAATAAATGTTAAGAATAATTGAGTTTAAGTGAGGTCTTTGTGTTGTTGTGTGAGTGGCTGTTGTGTTTGATATGTTTTACAGAGTCTCCACATCAGCAGATCTCAGCAGTAGAGTCAGGAATGGTGGTAAAATCTACAAGATTAAACGTAGGTTGTAAAAAATTAGCTTTTGTTTAACTACTTTAAAGTTGTGCAGGTTCATACTTGGCCTCATTGACGTTCATGACTCGTCCATCAGCAGTGATCAGGGTCCTCGAGGCCTTCGGTTTCTTCTTCTCTTTCTCTCTGCAGTAAAACAGCACAGCATGAGTGGAGTACAGCATCTGCATGTGTGTGTGTGTGTGTGAAGGCTGGACTGACAGACGACAGTAACAGAGTTATGGGGTCTGAGGGGTGAAGGAGAGAACCACCTCTCCCTCCAGGAGCATCCATAAGGTTAATGTGCAATGGACGGTGTTACTGTAGGACACACACAAACACACAGACACACACAGACGCAAGCAAACACACACACACACACACACACACACACACACACACACACACACACACACACACACATACAAACAATGTAAACCCACATACACTGGAATCCGCCTTTCAAATAGATTTCTTTCCAACATTTCCAACCAAACATTTTAAATAAAACCAAGTTTTGATTGGACATGAGGAAAAGAAAAAAAAAAATTGGATCTAAGCCATTTCATTAAACTTCGTACAGAATATGTGATAGTCGTATAGAAGTCGTCTCTGCTCAGGTGCTCACATCATCTATACAAACAAATCCCCAGTAGATCCCAGTAGAAAATAAAGTGGTTATTCTTCCAGCTCAGTGAACGTGTGTGATGATTTTTTTAAGAAGAACCTCTGTGTGCCCCTTCGCTTTGAGCCATGACACATTAATGCCGCACAACATTAAGGACTATTTCTTATTTCAAATCAAAGACATTAATTCAAAAGAAATGTGCAGATTTACAAACTGTTACTTGGCACAGAAAAGATTCTCCTCAAAGCTCTGATTGGTTGATTGTTTGGGACGTGGGTGCAGACTGAGAGGTCTGGAACCAGGTCACAGTCATTTATTAGCAGCTACAGTTGTTACCTAAACCAGTGACCCATTACACAATGAAGTCTAACATGCCACACACGAAAACAAACATCATTTTAATTGAAAAAATATGTATCTCTTATAATATCTCTTTAATCATCTGGTACCACCTCGGTGTTGGAACCACTTGCCCAAACTGAGTGTACCTGTAATGGGCTACAAGAAGAGGATCACGATGTTAAGTATTTATAAAACAGCTGTTGATGCAGCTGAATTACTCAGATTGTGTGTATTTTTAAACTGAAACCACTCGGAGCATTTTCCTACATTTACTCTGCTCCCAACACCATCTGCTGTACAACCGGTCACTCCATTAGCCACATTAAGCAGGCCGTGACACCAGCACAGGCAGGGAAACACATGCTGCATGTACATGCATCTATTAGGCCCACTGGGCAGCAGACGAATGAGTCGGCGGGCGAGTGTTTAACGCTCAGTGGAGGGTCCGCCATCGCGTCCTCTGCCGCCATACATCAGCCGCAGAGAGGACGAGTGTGACAGCGTGTTTCAGGAGCCTTCAATCTGCTGAAATTAAGGATGTTAAGTTCATGTTTTTATTAGAGTGGTGGCCTGCAGAGAGCCCCGTAATGAGTTTAAGTGGTGCTGTGGAGCCGAGCGGTCAGACGAGGCACTAACATACAATTACGTTAACAGTGTGGTCATCCACGTTAGACTCATACAGTCAGTGAGTGAAGGGGAAGCAGGACTATGTCTTCTTTCTAATTTTTCTAATGATGCTGTAGTGAGACATATATCACTCAGAACAAGAGCTCCAGTTCAGCACACATCTCTCTTCAGTATGACCAATAATTAGTCAGCTGTTTGGGTTCCTTTGGGATAGCAAGGGAGGATTATTGACATATTGGCATTTACAGGGTTTTTTTATTACTGGACAAAATCGAGTGCTGTAAGTTAAATTTAAAGTAAACACTAGAATAACTGCCTTGTTGTAGTTTCACATAACATCCCTGTTTATCCAGTAATGAGTTTAATATAAAATATTAACCATTAGTGTGAAATTTTGTCATTATTGCTTGAGTAATGACTAAAAGTGTTCTGTGAGGTCACACTGACCTTGACCTTTGACCACTAAAACTGAATCAGTTCGTCCTCAAGTCTAAGTGAATGTTTGTACCAAATTTTAAGGCATTTCTTTGAAGAGTTCTGGAGATACTGTGTTCACAGGGCCAAAACCATGTTTTGTGAGGTCACCACAAACTTGACCTTTGACCTTTAGCCACCAAAATCAGTGTAGCCTCGAGGTTAAGTGGAAATTTGTGCCAAATTTGAAGAAGTTTCTTCAAGGCATTACTGAGATATCGTGTCCATGATAATGGGACAGACAACCCGAAAACAATATGTCTCCAGCTCTGACTGTCGCAGAGGAATGATTAGAGCCAATAGGCCTCCACTTAATATTTACATTCTTTAAAATAAACAACAAACATGTTAACATTGCTGTTGTTTTCCTTGCTGTACTGAAAATGAACTGAAATGTGACTAAAGACTCTGGTTTATCTGGTAAATATGCAGAATTTCAGGTTTAGGTTACTGTCAATAACACTTTGTTGTGTGTGAGGACTTAGATAGTTAGATAAGATTAGAATCTTTATCTTTATTATCTTATCTGGTACAGTTTCCTTATTGGTCTGAAACTATAATACCCAGTGGTAATTCTGGAGTCAGGTGGGGCTAAAACAGTTGTGTTAGATTCAGATGCACATTGCGGAGCTGCTTGAAAAAAAAAAGCTAATTATATAAGTAGTAACAGTCAGTTCAATTTAATTGTCTTTAGATTGAAAATAATAATAATAATAATAATAATCTTGTATGTATGTAGTTGGCAACACTGCTTCTTAGATGTTGCAAATCGTTGAGGGAACATAGGGCCCCTTTAGGAATTTATTGTAAATCATCCATTGGTTGTTTAAGGGGGAGGGAGCAGCATTTTGAGACATTGCTGTGGAGTTAAGTTCGTCAGACCTCGGCAGGGTGGCCCCTACCAGCCTGTATCCCTGAGCAGTTGCCTGCCTTGCCTGTTCACAAGCTGCAACCTCTGATAATACCGATAATAATACCGCTACTGCAGCAGTCAGTACTGCTATAGAGTCATTAGAATCAGTACCTGAACCTGATTCATTCATTCAACACTCCACATTTACAGTTTGCATACAGTTAAATTAACTTTTTCACAATGTGTTTCTACACACTGACCATGGATGAGTACATCACGGTTGTGTTTATATTCTATGAACTGCATACAGGTTAGAAGAGAAGGCTAACTGTGTCCAGGTGAGGGGGTAACACTGCACCAAATTGGACAATACGCCATAAATTTGTGGTGTTTTGGATTTTTATGAGATTTGCCCAGCTGAACATCAGCACATGTTAGACAGCTCTCTCTATCACCATCATCAAAACACTAGATGAGGAAATATGTTTTAGAAGAAAGGTGTTCATCCCTATAGTAGATTTTCCTACAATTAGAGAATCCATGACACCGTGCTAACACACTTTATGTTGACGTGTCCTTTATTTTGTCGCCCACCTGTGCTTCACTACTTCTAGATAAAGAAACATAACTATTGTGTGTGTGCGTGCGTGCGTGTGTGTGCACGCGCACGTGTGTGTGTGTGTGTTGTTGGGGAAGAGTCGGGGTGAGATGGAGGACAAGTATCCACTTCAAAAGATCAAAGTGAAAGAAGCATCTCCATCACTATGCCAGTTCAAACAGCAGCTTTCATCTCATTCTATGCCATATACAGTTGACTTGCCAAGGTCACAGTGTGGCTCTCCGCACTATAAAATCCTGTTCTGTTGCTTTTTTTTTTTTTTAAGGGGGTGTGATGGGGCGTCTATCAAACAGCTGAGTCATGGAGACATCAGTGGTGACAGCTCCATTGCTGGTTTCTGTGGAGTCCAGAGGTGAGGACGATCTGTTCAGACAGCTTTCAGTTAGCCATGTTCACATTTAAGTCAGTGGAGAGAGAGAGAAGTCTTTATCTGTGCTGGGTTTAAATACAGAGCTACAATCACTGCACAGAGGAGGTTCGTGTAGCAGGGCACCTGTGATTGTAGCTAGATTGTACCTTCTGCAAAGCCTCTGTCTGCTGGTGTATAACAGTGATATAATCTTTGAAGTTATCTTTTGGGTTAACAAATACCAAATATTTTCTGGTTCCAGGAAAATTCATTTATTTTACATTTCATTTATTTTAAAAAAGCTATTTGCAAGTTCTGACGTTGCTACATAGCTAACATTATAATTAACAGCTGTTGACATACTAGTCTAGAAGAAACGTTGTGAGCTCAGCATCAATCATTTCATTCCTTTACTCACCAACAGCTGTCTCCAGAGGTGGAAAGAAACCCTCTTGCTTCTATTTCTATCACTTCTTTTCTTCTACTGAAGCTAGCATGCTAACTAGCTAGCTCTATCGGCCTGTCTTGTCACTTTCCGATAGCGAGTCACTGTAGCGTCTCAGAGGGGTCTATTATGACCTCTTATATTTTAAACGCAACAATGGCTGAATCTCTTGGCAACACTGGTACGTAAACAGCTGCTAATGCTAACGTTGGCTAAGTAGCAATAGCAAAACTTACAAATGGCTCCTTTAAGCTACAACAGGCTCTATTTAGCTATGTGATGATGAGATTAGAACAGGTGTTTAGCAGAGACTTGTATCATATGGTACATGTTATTAGGATCGGACGTATTCAGGAGCCGGGGTGGTTGAGTTGCATCCTCCTGCCACCCAATCAAAATACAGAACAGTGATATCATCAGGCGATAGATACAATTTTTGTATTTATTTAGAGTTGTTTCACACAAATATGTGAAAACAATGTGAATCTCTACTGCAGTTGTGTTAATCCATCAAAAAATATCTTATATTATCTACATCCAAGGAAATATTTTAGACTTTGCATAAATAATGTATCATCAATCATGTTTAAACAGCCGGTGTCACTTTATAAAGCGTCCGTCTCATTTTAAACCAACACGTCTTTTTCTATGAACTATCATCAACACACCACGTTATCTCATGTAGACAACCCTTTATGCAACCCCCCCCCCCCATCCATTTCATCCACGTCAATTAACTGCATCCATTTATCAGCCTGCCGTTTCTCCTCGACCTGAAGGCTCGACCGTGTGTTTAAGTTCAGGCCTGCAGACTGCAGGTTAGATCTGCTGTTCGTCTGGTGTTTTCCCTTCTCTCAAGAGGAACAGAGCAGCCATTAAACACAGAGCCGTCTCCTGGCTGACCTTATCACACAATCCACCTCAGGAGCAGGAAATTCATCTTTCCTGACAATCCAGTGACGGCACGACTGCATGCATCAAGTCAGCGCACTCTGACAGCCGCGCAAAGGGAAACGATAAAAACGGCAACACCATATCACCCCGATTTTATGCTTGGACAGCATGCAGGCCTGGGATGTTTTTGTAATATGGATTAGGAAGCGAACTGTCACCGGTTGGCGTCTCAGCCATCACACTTGGTTTCTTCAAATCAAGCTTATCTGGGGTATAACCTGACTTCTTATCAATAGAAAAGAGCTTTTATTGTGGTTCTTAGTGAGTCATTTCTGCCATTTCACATCAAATAGAGAATCCTGGTTCATTTTAAATGAAGTATTTCCTGTGAATGTTCACCACAAAACTCCCATACAGGGATTCATGGACAGATGTGCCACATGCAACATGATAAATGGAGTGTTACAAATGGAGCATCCTTTTGCAGAGTGCAGGGATAGACATCCAGCAGCAGATGACAGATGGCTGATTAAACTAATCTCACAAAAACACAAACACTGAGGTACCTTCGGGCTAATGTAAAGAGTTTCCTGTGGGCAGGAGATTAAGCACTAAAACAACAAAGCGTCACACACTGCTCAGCTATTTGTGACAATGTGGCTTGAGGTGGTATGAAGACTAAATGCTGTGAGTCAGCGCTGTGTCCACAGGTCAGTTGGGTGAGGGGGGGGGGGGGGGGGGGGGGGGGGGGGGGTAAGAAATCAAAGAGTAGCATAGATCTGCCACCTCACTTTACAAACAACGTGTACGCCGTACAAAAAAACAAACAATAATAACAACAGACCAACTACTGCAGTCTGTTTCAAAACATAGCTACTGAGCTACAAAGCCACATGCATTTCCAGGTAAACCTCTGCCCTCTCCTCCAGCAGCCTGACCCACAGTGACCAGAAGGCTGATGGTTTAATAGCTGGAGAGTTTATCCCCCTGGATGTTGATCTCACAGAGTCCACTTCCACTGTCAGAGTGCCCCTTGGACATAGCTGAACACTGGACCGACGCTGAAGTCTCAGAGGAGCTGGATGAATGTAGGAGGCTTCGTGTGATTATTATTCTGAAGATGTATTACATATCAGGTTTATTTGTATGGTCTTTAATCATGGTTACAGTCACGGCTTCACAACGCCCACATCACGGAACGACAGAGGAAGGCATGAAGTGAAAATAAAAAAACACACTCGTAAAACTCAATGACAACAACAAAAACTTCTACAGAGAAAAAGGAGGGAACCTTTATGGTGAGGAATCCCCCTTCAAAGATACTGCAGTCAGGCTGAGAAAGATTAACAGCTCAAAACTAGACTTATCGCATCAAATGTTTTGTTAAAATACATAATAAAATTAAACTTAAATTACGGCATTTTAAGCCTGCAGTTTCCCTTGGAAAAATCAAAATAACATCACACCATGATGAGCCGGCACAGCTGCCAAGGTGCACATTATGCCAACTGAGTTGAACTATTGTAGCCAAAAACAACATGTGTGCAGGCGCACGAGTAGAAACACTTCTCGAATAATGACTTCAACAACAAGTACTCGAATACTTGAGTACTCGTACCCATCCCTAATGACAAGTCTTGAGTAATGGCTAAAAAGTGTTTTGTGAGGTCACACTGACCTTGCTCTTTGACCTCTGACCACCTAAATCTAATCAGTTCATCATTGTATGAAGTGAATGTATGTCAAATGTAAAGAAGTTCCGTCAAGGTGTTACTAAGATATTGTGTCCCTGAGACAGGCATACAACCTGAAAACAATATGCCTCCGGCTCTGACTGTTGCTGAGGCATAAAAATGATCATAACTATAATCCACACAGGAAACAGCAAGATGCCTGTCACACCTAAACTGTAGCATGGAGCAATACTGAGCACGTGTCTGTTGAAATCAGACGACTGGTCAGAGATAAAAAAACAACAGTTTGACAGCAGATGCTCGTGGCCAATAGAGACGACCCGGGACAACTTCATAAGATTTCTAATCTTGCAACAACTTACATGTACAGTCACGCTCAAACACGTTTTACAATTTGAGGGTGAGATGCTTCCACTGATCAGTGAGCTTATATTCAGGAGAGGAAATTAACTTGTCAACTGGCCGCCTAACAGCTTTTCATTAGCCACTTTTTAAAGTTATTTTCTTTTTGGGCTTTTTGTCTTTATTACAGTGACAGTGAGAGAGATTGAAAGTTGGCCACAAGCCAGACTCAACCCAGGCCGCTGCGGTAAAGACTACATCTACATGGTATGCACTCTAACAGGTGAGTTGGGTGCACCAGTCACTTTTCAATGCATACATATGATCTGAAATACAAAATTAATATTGTTTTCTTTTCTTTTCTTTTTTTTTAATATGAAAATTCAATATAAAAACTACAAACATGGAGGTGGAGTCTGGACTGTAAAAAAATTGTTTTTACGATTTATTAATTTTTTTTCTGTTGACTTAAAAGGCAGCCAATCTGCAGCCTCACCAGTATTTCTTAAAGCATTTTCCTTTTTTATTTTTTAATCAGTGGAAGCACATTTAGTTCTGTGTTCACCAGTAGCAGCTTGTTCACAGTAAAGTGATCTGAGCAGTAACTTGTGACAACAAGTAGTGCATTTTGTATTTTTTATGCCTGGAAACATCAAATATGAAATTTGTTGATGAGTATTGGTTATAAAAAAAGGAACAATAAACCATATAAACACTTGAACCTCTGATGCCCAGTGGTTCATAAAGGTTTTTTTTTTTTGTGTTCATGTGTCAATTGTAACTTACTGCTAACTCATTACAGCTAATCAGTGTGTTGTGTGGGTCTGTTGTCCTCATCAGTCCATTGGCTGCTCTGACTGAGCGAAACCTCACAGCTGCCAACTGACATCACTGTCCTGACAGAGAGAGGCGAGGTGTGTGTGAGTGTTGGTGTGTTACAGAGAGAACAGAAGCACAGTGAGAAGTGGACGTGCAACACACACACCCAATTAACACCCCAGCAAGAGGGTCACCTTAAGGGCGAGCACTAATTAGTGCTGGCATGGCAAATGGTTTGCAGACATTGCCATTTGATTAGTGCACAAACACGGCTGACTTACATGTAATTGGCTCAAGAGGGTGCCAGGCATCACCAAATCTTTAAAGAAGCATTGAGATTGTCCTCCTGTAAAAACGAGTCCATAGGTAAACTGTGCAGCAAGTTATTATGATCCATAGTTTTGTTTTGTTGCTAGGAGACATCTAGTGGTTGTAATAATTGTGACAGTAGCAAAGGGAAAAGTGCAGTGACGTAGTTTAAAGAGAGACAAAGTCCACGTCAGGAGGAGGTTGTGGTGGATGGATGAATATGACACAGGAGAGCGCTGTTCCATTCCCATGTAGAGGTAGCAGTTTATGTTGTTTCTATTAACCATGACTGTTGTTATTATTGCAACAAAGATTGTCTATTGTTGAGGAAGTACTTATTTTAACTCAAATCACAATCTTTCCCTAAACTTTACCATGCCATGACCGTTACTAAAGTAACCATGGTGACAAAGGTAGGTACGCCATTCTCAGTACAGTCTGCGTGTTTGTAATTGTTTATAATTGACAACCAAGGTCTTGTAAGCCTGCCGTCGTAGGGATGCTATTTCAGGAGACACTCCTATGGGTTGTATCGGAGGGTTGGCGGTTGCTCAGGTTGGAGTAGTTGTTATTTGTATAGAACCTCTCAGCAACAAGCTCATACAAAGTGTTTTACGACATAAGAGGCATTAAGACAAATAAACGTCCATAGATTCAGATCAACATGATGTGGAGACGTCTCGTGTCCACCTGATCAATCTAAATCCAGTGTTCCCTCTTTGAGCTCTGTGTTTAGTCTCCACCAGCTCCTAATGGAAACATCTGGCTTTTTAGCTGCTAAATGCTCCACTATGTTCACCAGCTGCTCTCTACCTGTGTCTCTCTGCTGTTTGCTGCTGGGCCAATTGTGGACAGTGGCTTTATCAGAGCTTGTTTAATGAAAACAGCTGCTGCTGCTGCTGCAAACACTGACACTGAACTAGACAGAAAATGTGGTGCAAAATTGAGAGTTAAACAAGGCAAAGAAATGTATCAGAGCTGTAGAGTTGATGGGAATTAACCATACCCTGTAAATAAAGATGGACGTAGCCTACATAGTGGACATAGTGACATCACCCACAGGTTTCTGAAGAGCAGTTTTGAAGCTCAGAGTGAGCTGCTCCACTGTCGCCATCTTGGCTGTACCTGACTCCGCCACTAACTTCCAGCTAATCCAAAAATGGGCAAAGAGGAGGGGCATGTGTGGAGCTAAGACTTTGGTACATACTGGTTTTTGGCAAGCATATGCTCAGCCACCTGTCACTCAAAGAGGCCATGCACTCAATACACAACTTTAAGCCTTAATAAAATGTAAACAGATGAGTTGTATAAACAGTTGTCATGAAGGAGGAAATTAATTATAGAGACCAAAACAGTTTTTTGTACCAGGCTGTAAACGTTTATTTCTGCTGTAAAGTTGGACATTTTAACATGAGAGTCTATGGAGATTGACTCACTGTTGGAGCTCTAGTGATCATTAGAGGAACTGCAGTTTTTGGTACTTCAGTGTTGGCTTCATGTTTCAGCTCCGGATATTGATGCTTGGAATTAATTACAAGACTGACTCATTGTTAATATATTAACAGTGAGTTTAAATATAGTTTGTTTTAATAAAGACAAGAACATGAGGTGAAGCATTCACACTCTTAACCTCTTCTGTCCTAAATTGCTGCTTTTTGACTCACAGACAAATACAAATAAAATGCACAGTTTCACATCCGTGATGACACTCTCTGACTTCTTCTGCCAAACGTGTTTAAGGAGAATTAACATGGCACACTACACAACAGTTCTTGACAATGTCTACCATGAAAAAACATGAACATGTCAGTAACAATTTTGCCCTGAAACACTTCTGTGGAAAGTGCTCCATTTATGTCCTGTCAGTGTCATATGTGTGGTAGCTGCACACAGTTTAACCTTCATTGTGT